GACAAGCAGGAAGAGCCAGCCAGATCCTGACTTACATCCTGTTCAAAACCAAGAGCATGCTCTGGTCAGCAACATGCAGGAAGGGCCAGCCAGATCCTGACTTACAGCCTGTTCAAAACCCAGAGCATGCTCTTGTCAGCAACATGCAGGAAGGGCCAGCCAGATCCTGACTTACATACTGTTCAAAACCCAGAGCATGCTCTTGTCAGCAACAAGCAGGAAGGGCCAGCCAGATCTCTGACTTACATACTGTTCAAAACCCAGAGCATGCTCTTGTCAGCAACAAGCAGGAAGGGCCAGCCAGATCCTGACTTACAGCCTGTTCAAAACCCAGAGCATGCTCTTGTCAGCAACAAGCAGGAAGGGCCAGCCAGATCCTGACTTACAGCCTGTTCAAAACCCAGAGCATGCTCTTGTCAGCAACAAGTAGGAAGGGCCAGCCAGATCCTGACTTACAGCCTGTTCAAAACCCAGAGCATGCTCTTGTCAGCAACAAGCAGGAAGGGCCAGCCAGATCCTGACTTACATACTGTTCAAAACCCAGAGCATGCTCTTGTCAGCAACAAGCAGGAAGGGCCAGCCAGATCCTGACTTACAGCCTGTTCAAAACCCAGAGCATGCTCTTGTCAGCAACATGCAGGAAGGGCCAGCCAGATCTCTGACTTACATACTGTTCAAAACCCAGAGCATGCTCTTGTCAGCAACAAGCAGGAAGGGCCAGCCAGATCCTGACTTACAAGCTGTTCAAAACCCAGAGCATGCTCTTGTCAGCAACAAGCAGGAAGGGCCAGCCAGATCCTGACTTACATCCTGTTCAAAACCCAGAGCATGCTCCAGTCAGCAACAAGCAGGAAGGGCCAGCCAGATCCTGACTTACAGCCTGTTCAAAACCCACAGCATGCTCTTGTCAGCAACAAGCAGGAAGGGCCAGTCAGATCCTGACTTACATTCTGTTCAAAACCCAGAGCATGCTCTTGTCAGCAACAAGCAGGAAGAGCCAGCCAGATCCTGACTTACAGTCTGTTCAAAACCAAGAGCATGCTCTTGTCAGCAACAAGCAGGAAGGGCCAGTTAGATCCTGACTTACATTCTGTTCAAAACCCAGAGCATGCTCTTGTCAGCAACATGCAGGAAGGGCCAGCCAGATCCTGACTTACATCCTGTTCAAAACCCAGAGCATGCTCTTGTCAGCAACAAGCAGGAAGAGCCAGCCAGATCCTGACTTACATCCTGTTCAAAACCCAGAGCATGCTCTTGTCAGCAACAAGCAGGAAGGGCCAGCCAGATCCTGACTTACATCCTGTTCAAAACCCAGAGCATGCTCTTGTCAGCAACAAGCAGGAAGAGCCAGCCAGATCCTGACTTACATCCTGTTCAAAACCCAGAGCATGCTCTTGTCAGCAACAAGCAGGAAGAGCCAGCCAGATCCTGACTTACTTCCTGTTCAAAACCCAGAGCATGCTCTTGTCAGCAACAAGCAGGAAGGGCCAGCCAGATCCTGACTTACATCCTGTTCAAAACCCAGAGCATGCTCTTGTCAGCAACAAGCAGGAAGGGCCAGCCAGATCCTGACTCACCCACTGTTCAAAACCCAGAGCATGCTCTTGTCAGCAACAAGCAGGAAAGGCCAGCCAGATCCTGACTCACCCACTGTTCATAACAAAAGCATGATCCCATTAGCATCTACTTAAGGCCCACTGGATGTTGGCTTACCACCTGTTCATATATATTATTTTGTTCTACCACTGTACAGTCAAGTAAGGTCCACATACCATATGTGGAAAATAATTCAGTATCTTCTCAACCATCTTCCTCCACTCTCTCTTTTCTTTGAATAACTTCCAATCTGGAAAGACAACTCTGTTATTCTAGATAATCAGCAATTTACCAGCATATAATTCAAAATGAAGCAACTACCTTTTAATTGCATATTCAATTGACAGAGCCACATTATTTTGCTGCACTGTAAGAAACAGCTGTAAGAGTGTATCATCTGAAAAGGTGGCTGCTGTCTTCCTCAGCAGTTTGCTGCAGTCACTTGTGGGATTTTGCATATCTGTCAAATGCAATTAATCTATTGTCAATGAGTAAATGAGTTTGTTATACCTCGAAAATACACATGATCCTTGGGAGGATACTTTCTCTTGAAGAGTTGCTTGCCAAATTTCTCTTCAAACCTGGCAACTGACTCTTCTGGAGCTTTATTTGCAGCATCTTCAACATCCATTCCAGTATCAACCAGGTGTTTGATGGTTGGAGCATCAAGCATATCTGCTTTTGTAAACAGGACAATAACAGGAACTGTGCACAAAAAGGAAAGGTGAAATTCATGAGATTATCAATAGTTTACACACCTCTACCAGTCCCACACTCATCAAAGAAAGTTAACTCTGCTCTTGTAAATGGTCTGGCTTCATCATTAATTGGGATGCAGTACCTACACAGGGTGTATTCAGATGCACTTTAATGTCACAACTCAGTCACTCACCAAATCACATGCAGATGATCCTTAAGCCGGTTGTTGGTTGAACGTTTTTGCAGAAACTCCTTGACTTTATCCAGCTCAGATGTTCTGCCTGCTTCAAAGCCACGTGAGTCATGAAAGACAAATGCTGTATTGCTCTCAAATATCATTTCATTCTCAATATCGTGCTCCCCTCTCTGCCACACTTTCAGTAAAATGTAATAGGGAGTGTAGATCCACATTACCTGTGCAGTTGGATTGAGCTCAGACAAGTCAATCTTTTTCACATCAATAATGATAGATGATGATGTCTCGAGCATGGAATACCTCATGACCCTCCGGATTGAAAATTTTCGGCTGTTCCGTTGTATTGCAAACTCGCTGGAGGATGGTTGTCTTCCCCGCGTTGGCGCGGCCAATGATGAGGACGCGAAAGCGGTTGGTGAGGTTTCGAACTCTGCGTGCTCGTCTCTGTTGTCTTTCTATATCCTCTGCGGCCTGGGATTCAACATTCGAAAGAGACATTTGTCGCTGGGATGCCTGAGATGGTGGAAGTGGTGAAGAACCAAGATAAGCGCCACGCAGTGTATTGTTTGGTTATGCTGGGTCAGCCACTCGAGTGACGTCACTGACTCGCTTCTCGTTCTTCCCAAGTTCTTCCGTTCGTACAACTTGATTCCCTTCACTCAATTTCCAATATATACACACGTCATTGGCTCCTCAACTGAGCTTTTCAATCTGCCCACGACGATCGTGAAAGCGCGCAAGTTTGTTGCCAGATTTGAACATCAACCAAGCGGCGAGGGAGTGCGAGGGAGAGGGTGAGTACAAATCTCAAGTACTCAAGGTTAACTTACCCTGAAGTTTTGTTACAGTCCAGGTGAATGCCCCTTCGAGTCGCCATTCGAGCTCCAGCAGTGGCATGAGTTCGCCACTTAGTATAGACAAGTCTCCTCGGCAGCGGGCTTCTATCTAGGACGTCATTTTCCTTCATTGACCACGTACTAGAGGACTTAAACTACAGTGACTGAAGACCCGGAAGGTTGAAGAAGTGGCTGTAACATGAGCAGTATGAGACTAAATCCTACTTGGTACGATCATCAGCTACAATTCTATCGTGATGTGCCATCCCATTTTGCCAATGAAGTCCCCGTCTCAGCCAAGATCACTGTTCTCCCCCATTTTCCCTTCTCACACCCCCTACGCATTTGTCCGTGAACCGCGACGTCCGTGTAGGTTTCCACGTCCACTGGTGGCTTGAAGGCGTACCTTCGATCTTGAGTATGCTCCCCACCATCAGGGGAGAAGGCTACGTGAAAGCTTGTAAGCAATGTGGATCCACATCGAATGACACAACCCACGCTGTCCCTACCAAACTATGTTCGCCCTTTTCTTCATTGCCGTCACGGCTAGCGCGTCGTTCTATCGTCCAACAGCAAGCTAGCCACAGATAAATATCAGAACTACGCCGCACAACCCCAAGAAGTGAATGTATGCTTGCCTTTTTCCCCAGTTCCTCTTAAATGGGGTTGCTACCACTTGGGCGAGCAAGCTCTCAACGAGACTTTGTTAGTGTCCCCGGCGCGCATCGAGCATGCTTTTCGGTGTCTCCGAGCGTTTGCACCGTAAAACAGCGACGGTGAGTAAGAGATGACGCCTCCTTCGTAACCCAACTTCCCCACATTCGAACTGGGATGCCGCATGAATACGCCTATAACGCAAGCTTGAATGGATGTCAATCTGGACAGAGCTAGCGACTGCTATTTCTGGGTTTTGAGGAGTCGAGGTGGTGTTGCTCGTCAAAACGCTGAAAGCCGTATTCAATCGGGTCGTCTTCTGCCTGCGTTCTAGAATAGAATTCAGTAATTACGTGAGTTACGACAGAGATCGCTGCAAACGAGATAACACTACCATTCACAATGACTTTGCAATTTCAGTTTGAGCGGAAAAGGTTGTCCGTAATTACACATGACCTTCCTGTCGAGTGGCAGGGATTGTAGGGCCGATCTGTGCAGGAAGGATTTAGGGAAATGCGACATAGGCGTAGTAGACAACGTACCACCGCGATTCCGACTCTTCAATCCAATTCAAGTCCTAAATGCGAAGGTTTTGTGGTTCCAGTTTGCCGACGTCATGGCTGGTGAAGTCCTTCCAACCAGTCTCAGACAAGGGTTTGTAGCTGGTGGAGTGGTTGCACCAAAATCGACGTTCCATTTTGTCGTTTCCCGTGGCCCTGATAGAAAAGCCAAGATAAGTATACATGGTTCGTACATCACACTCGACCCACCTAACCGCACAGACCAGCTTCTCCCGTTCCGCGCTAAGCAGCAGCGCACGTCTACGTAGTTCTGGCCACTGGATTTGAAGCCGGCGGTGAGAAACCGTTGGTTAAAATTGGGTCGGTTAGTCCGTCTTGAACAGTGAGTAGCGCTTTTCTGGCAGCCTGAAAGATAACTGATTGATAGATCAGATATGAAGACCTCCCGTCGATGAGGGCTTACCATCTCAGCACGTTAAACTGTCCGGACCATTGGGTGTCGTGACTGTCGTCGTGATCCTGAACCTGATGTTGGTAAGCATACAGATAAGTGAGAACGGATATGACAGACGCACCTCCACTTGAAGCGTCGATGTCCTGCTTGTATCCTATGACAGCGATGAGATGCACGAGTTTGCCCCCTCTTATTTGACATGTCATTTTGGTGAAACACTTCAAAAGGGCGTAGGCCCTTACATACGACGATTCCACAAGCTGAGCCGATCATGTGCATCGAGTTGTGAAACCCTTCTGCGGTCAAGATTTGTCGCGACTGATTATCAGGGAGTGTGTGAGAGTTGGAGTGGGGGACGATTCGCTTTATATCTAGAATGATCAAATTCGTACAAGGTAATAAGCTCAAGAAGAACTCACAAACAGTGCGTAGATGCTAGTTTGTATGAGCGCCAGGCTGGCAGTGCCTAACACGTAACAAGTTGCAGCCACGGCTTATGGGAAGGGAAATCCTCCTCCCTTCGCACACTGGGCAGAAACCTACTAATTCCAATGTGGCTTCGAATACAGGAAGGGTGCTCGGTTTTGAACCTGGGACCCACAAACATTGTCACTCTGGAGAAGATGACACCGAAGAGTGCATTGCTGGCGGCCTCGATGACGCGCAACTTCACTTTTCGATTCATAATTAGATCAAGAAGTTTCCGTAAAACCGTAAGACCTTACAGGACACCACTTTCACACTTGCCATTTGAACCGAGGGCCAACTTTTGTGAGGGAAGAAGGATGATGTCCCGCCCAGTGGTCAAGAAGTCAGATGGTGGTGAACGCCACGATGTCCTTAACGGGAAGAACAGTCAGCTTCAGAAAAGGCGCCAACTTGAAGCGCAAGAAACAACTCACCGTGAAGGGCGCAAGATCGGAATCTCCACACACTTGAAGCCACCCCACTCTGCACCGACGTCGCTGTTTACAGAGCCGCAGGTCATAGAGGTCTTTTATCTCTTTAAACACACGAGGCCAGAAACACGGTTGCTGATCGACATCTTCACGAAAGTCATGGATGATGTTGGTTTTTGGAGGAGGCCCATGGAGTTTGAGAGCCTAGCCAGGGGCCTTCCTTACTGAGGCCAAGAAGATGCGAAAGAGGCCTTCGCCGACGAGGCCTGGGACGTAGTGGCAGTACGGGTCATATTCAGAGATGGTAGAGAGGTAGATGGAGCCGGTGTTGGCTGCTTTGTGGGCGTAGTCGGCCATCCTGGTTTCAGTTTTCCAGAATCCAAAGTTGAACTCGACGAAGTGGGGGTCGAAGGCGAACTCGACAAGGCCACGCCACGGTAGCAGGAGTGAATGGCACCCTCGAAGATGAAGTCAACGTTGAAGACTACAAAGAGGGAACAACACCCGTACCGTGCACGATACACTCCTGCAACGGTTTGATGGGCGAACATGTCCCGCATAAACATCCCTCGCTCTCGTTTGCATCCGCCATCCAAGATTGGGCTTGAAACGCACAGCAAAATAGTGAATCCCAATTCCAAGAGACTATGTGCGTATTGCGTGGAATAGAGGTTGTGTCCCAAGTCCAACCTTTCTACACATCATTCAGGCCGAAGGAAACCCTGGCATTCCTCCTCTTGGAAACCTGAAATCAAGCACAACACCCTCAGCCGCGCGCTGCGCCCACTCAGCATCGAACATGTCGATTCTAACAATGGAGGAAGGACTTTGCGTGGCGATCACGCGGAGATGACGAGGCAAAGTTCATGTTGTTCGAGGAGTAGAGGGAAGTTTGGATGAGGGTCTGGATGAAGGGTCGATGAAATTTGAAGTAATAAAAAGAGGCAGTTTAGGCGGAAGACGCGGGAATCGAAGTGGAATAGAGGATTGAGGCGGAAGGAAAACTTTGGAGAAAAACTTTGTTGAGGAAGGGCCGAGTGCCAGTCATAATATGGGAATCAAATCGAAACGCCCTCGTCGAGATTTCAGTGAGATTTCAATCTCCTCTGCTGGACACCATGCAGCTGTTCGAGGAGGTTGTCTGCACGCAGTGAGGTGGGCCATGTAAACTCGGATGGCGGGATTAGGATCTGAAGGGGAGAGGGAGTGCGAAGGAGTCTAAGGGTCGAAGCCATACGATTTTGGTGGGTGTGTAGTGCTTCAACGAGTTCTGGTTTACACCGACGTACTCGTTGTGGACAAGCAGTTGTGGAGGGCCTGTGAATAGGCCTTCAGCAGGACTTGATCACATCGCACGCTTCTGAGGGTGGCAAACATTATTGTAAAAATTTAATGAAAGAATCTCAACATTCGAGAGACGTACCTTTGTCTCAAAGTTTTCTGTTTGTGGTGCAACTCAAGGCCAGGGTGAAGATAGTCTCCCGTAGTCAGCCCTATAAATATCACGTTTGTCTCTTTTAAGGGGAAGGGAAGTCGACAGTGATATATGAGAAGGGAGTCGTATTGCCGTATGTTTGCAATTGATTGAGTTGTCTACATAGTAGTAGAACGTTGACCTGTTCCCTACCACCATAGGTTCCAAACGTTGCCTTCTTCGCCGTGAACGTGGAATTTCAGCAAGACGGTATTGCGCGTGCTCGCCGATCAAGGCGTTGAGAGGAAAAGCGCGAGGGGTATCTTGGATCAGGCGTACTTGTGTCATTCCCTTCTTTCATGTTTGCCTATGAGTCGGCAATGTTCCGCCTGGTAGTCCCACTCAGAGGCAAATTCCGTTTTGTTCTTTCCATTCCAGTACGCTCTTCAACAATATTCTCTCAATAAGTGGCGATTGACGTTAATTTCAACAGCTTAGGTTCAATGGGAGAGGTTGCGATGTTTGACGAAGTTCGGTTTTGGCCCGGTTAGAAACGCCAGCGACGCCGTGACCAGCTTGACTACGCAAGTCTTGAGCTACTCAATTTGACTACTTATTTCCGTGAGGCGTTATGAGGTGGGTCTTCTTCCGGTTTTCCTCAACCGACTCATCAGATTGATCTTTATGACGAAGATTCGCAAGTATTAACTGGATGCCAGTAGTACAGCCAAAGAACCCAACCTGGGGTCTCACTACCTCATTCAAGAGGAGCCGAAGGGCTTTAAGGGGAGGCTAGAAGACTTACGAAACCTTGGGGATGGCTCTTACCGAAATTGTGAGTTGCGCCATGCTCATTCTACTGGCGAAAACACTTATCCAGAGTTTAGTGTGAAGACTTGTTGAATCACTTTGGCGAACCAAGGTTATCGCTATTCCTGTGGAAGGGTGCGGAGCGCCTCACGCAACTATCATGACTTTCAACCCTTTACTACACCGGATGCAAAGCTCCATCGTGTGGCGTTGGCATAGGGAATCACCCGTTTCGCGGAACGTCCGCGCTCGGACCCACGTCTTGCAGAATCCCTCAGGGAAAGGTCGACGAACTTTCCATGACCCCTCGTCATCTACAATCGGTGCTTGTCTTTCAGGGGGTGCCAACGCCAACGCGACTGATCTTGTCGTGAAGCACATTCTCCGTACTGCGCCGTGGAAGTTCTTCGTGTCACGTTTCAGAAAGACGCCTAGTGGTTGGATTTCGATGCCTCGGAGGAACGGGAACGGGGTGACCTCACAATACGTTCAACCAGTTTGCTATAAAAGTAAGCCTCGTTGCTGGCTTTGTTGTGTATGTGCTTACCTATCATACTAGGTCTTGGCTCTTATCTGGATTTTCACCCAACACGACCCAACACGCACGCTCTTTTTTCTTGAGTTGGTGGTACACCCGTATCGGGTTCAACTTTTGGTCAACACGTTAAGGAAAGCTTCTGCTCATTTTGGCCAGAACGAGTGCTGGCACCTTGAACATCGCCTTCTAGCATTGCAATGATATTTGCGGGCGTGAACCACGTCGACGCGCATTTTCATGACAACTTGGGATTATTGTCCGCCAGGTGAGCAAGGGCGACACGTCAGAATTTTACCTACTGACTATTCGTTATGCCTACATAGCGTTTGTTACATTCTATTCGCAATTTCACCTTCTTCCAAGCCAGAAGCACGTTCGCAACCGGGGGCTTCGATTTCATATCTAGGGGTGGCGCCGCACAAATTTCTAACATGCAATCACGAGTCATATCTCATCCCTCACAAAGTCAATGCAAGCCGTAGGTTGTGGAGACCTGAGGAGGAGCACACATGGTTCCACTCGACTGTCAGAGTTTGACACTACTTCTTTCAAATGTGACCCGCTCCTCTCCGTAAGTACGCTTTCTATTCCCATTTTCTCTCGCCTCTAAAGTAAGTTGTATCTAGATTATCAACTAGCCGCAACGTAGCCTGGCCAACAGTACGTTCGCAACCGAAAGGCCTTGGCGTGCGCTGGCACAATTGTGGACTTTGTAGAACTTCCAACCATCATACGATGCCCTTCCTAAGCACTGGTCTCCGACAGCATGGCGGAAGTCATAGGACACACCTTGTACTCACTTCGGATACCCAAATCACCCTTTGTTATTTTCCGCGGACGCTTCTCGAGGCGATCTCCACCTCAACACCCCTCCTGAGGACGGTCGTGAACAACTGATGACACTACTAACCTTCTGTCTCGCTTTTCATTCCAACGGACTCAATAGCAACACTGCTCAAGCGCTCGCAGGTGATACCGTCACATCCTCTGACAGTCACACCGAGCGCCTTATCAGACAAACGAGGCTAAAATTTCTATTTCAGTCAGTCTTCACCCATGCCTGCCGTGTAAAGCGTGTTCCGAGCGCTAAACACCTCCCTTTCATTAAAACCACCATGTCTACCGCGAAGGGTAGCTCAACGGGAAGCCCCAGCATTGAGATTACAGGTAACCTCCCAGGTTTTTGCCCCCTAAGTCAAACATCTGACACCCATTGGCTAGAAATCTGCGTTGAATCCCAGCACATCCTCAAATCGGTCCAACTTTCGATTGGATCGTTCGAGCGGGAATCACCTTGTCTCCTGAATGCAACGACCCACAACTTTGAGTTGTCATCCCCCTGGTGAGCCGATGATCATGTGTAGCATTGGACGACAAACCCAGTCAAAGCAGTCAACTTTCGCCTTCAGAGTCCCTCTATCTGCAAGTCCGATTCCGCGGATTTTTCGTGCTGC